GGCATTCCTCTCTGAAACCATACCCCAGGAAGGCCTCGGTATTTAGCAATAATCTCAACTCCTGGCTGAACTCTCTGACTGGGAGCACAAGCAAACCCAGTGCCAGAAGCTACTGACTCACACTTTGAGAAGGTACACTGGAGAAAAAGCATCCATGGGAAAAAATGAGAGCAAGGGTAACAGCGTTTCGATCTTACTGTTTACAGAAAAACAGTAGAGTTGCAATCAATCCGAAAAACCCGCCCCAGACAGCAGCCTTGTGGTCACCAGCGAGTGAGAAGTGCGGCACCAACCCACTGCAGGACATCGTACCAGCTTCCCAAGGGCCTGCTCACTTCACCAACACCGTGCTGGGGACGCGACGCTGCAAGCAGGGGTCAGCAGTGCCAGGCCAGCAAATCCGCACTGCTCAGAGTTGGAAAAGCTCCGAAAGCTGATGGCGTTACCGGCATTACTAAGGGCTGTGCAGACGCTGTCAGAACCACAGAGCGGTGGTCCCCGTCTCGGCTCTGGGTGTCCGAGATGACACGCTGCCTCACTGCATCCTTCGGGCTACTTGCGCTGCTGCTGCTTGGCAGATCAAAAACGAGCAGCTCTAACCAAGCAGAGCCTCCAGAAGACACCGAGGCGTCTCTCCAGCTTCCAGCAGCTCAACGTCAGAGGTGTTGCTGAAGAGGCTGGAGCCGGACGAGGCTCACAGGGCTGGCAGTGGAGGTTTAGCTGGCCCTCCTCCCCGCGTCACAGGGCTTTGTGCAGCTCTGCAGTATTTATTCTGGGAGGTCTCGTGCGAAAGCTTAGTTCCTGTCGCTTTTTTTTGCTCTTGAAGCAAGGGAAGAACTGGTGTCAAGTTGTAACTGATGAGTTCTAGGGACAAAACTTAACATTGGGCAAGCCCTGCACCCTAAATCAGCTTTTCCAGGCTGCTTTTCAAATCACTGCTCCATCTTCCTGCCAAGTAAAACACTGCCACCACCAGGGTGGGAACTGTCTCCCAGAGTCCATTCTGGGAGTCGAGATTTGGAAGGAAAAAAAAGTTTCCATCTCCCTTAGATAAAAAAGTTTCCACACTTTTCAGACATTCACAGAGCCTGTCAGCACGGCCGCCTCTGCCTGGCTTCGCTTTTACCTTTGCTCTGTCCCTTTGTTTGCTAGGCACCCACAGATTCATTTTACCCCACGAACACAAGGTGGCCTCAAATCATTAGCACATCCGTTTGCATAAACCAGATACCAGAAAGTGCTGCTTCAAGACCTCTCGAACAGCTCCATCCCCCGCCACCAGCCCTGTCCACTGCCCACCTGAGAAACTACTGATCATTTTACTACAAAGCAAGAGTTAAACTAACACCCACGGACAGTCCCTAAGAGAACAGTAACACGACGAACGAGACTGTTTCCTCTCTCCAAGATGCTATCAAGCTAGAAGAGTGCTCCTCAACTCCCAGTACTCAAGTTGCTCACAGACTGCAAAGTTTCACAGCCCTAAGCGTTTTTGTTGGTGGTTGGTTTTTTTTTTAAAATCAAGTTAGAAACGCTTGTAAAAGCTGGAAAGCTCTCCAAAGAAGTCTATGAAGAGAGGGGGCAAAGCGCTTTCCAAAACTGCTCGGCTGTGCATTAGCCTCCAGCAGAATTAAACGGTAAGTGTGAGCTCTTCCAGCTCAAAAGCCCGTGGAATGAGATGACTAGGGCGCTTTTAAATCCTCTTGTTTCAATCGGTTGCTACACAATCCCAAAAGCGAGAGTCAAGTCGAGTGAGTGCAGCACAGAGCTCAGCAGAGGATGACGGCCACGCAGGCCTCCGCGAGGTGTCTCTCGGGAAGGGCAGTTGTTAGCAAAGATCCCTGCTGCCCACCAAAACCCCGAGCACCGTCTGCAAGTCCCGTTCGTTTAGGAACTTCAGCGTCTCCCCCTGCAGCGAATAAAACACCCAAAGCACCGGGGCTGTTCTCATGGTCCGTCAGAGTGCGGAGCAAGATGATTCCAAGAGCACCGTTTCCCCTTCACTGCTTCGCCATAAACACTGGCACCCCTCCTTGCCACTCTTTCTCTCTCCCCTGGCCTCACCACTTCCAAGAAGTCCTAAACTGGCAGCAGGGCCGATAACAAGGCCGATTTTTTAATATCAGCCTCCCCCATTATCCAGCATATTGGAACACCACAGCCTCAGTAGCTGCATATCTGCCTACAAAGCCATTTTTTTCGTCTTTTACTTCGCACTCCTTGAAGGGCAATATAAATCTCCTGGCTATGACCTGGCAGTTTCAGCTCTGGGCAGCAGGCCACGCAGAAATCCAAAGCTTCCTTTAGCTGCACTGCGCTTCCTTCTTTCTGAATACCTGGAAGCAGCCAGTGCCTACATTTATTAACTCCTGAAAGCAGCTGCCTTCCTCCCACACCGCTAGGCTTAACTCACCTGCTATTTTGATGTTAAGGTTAGCATCCAGAAGTAGATTTTCTGCCTTCAGATCTCTGTGGACTATGTTACGACAGTGACAGAAGTTGACAGCAGCCACGATTTGCTTGAACTTTCGCCGGGCTTCCTTCTCAGCCATGCGGCCGTGGGCCACCAAGTGATCTGCAAGGGGCAAGCGAAGAACAGAGCGGTTATTCCCACAGCGAGCACCACCCCGACCGGGGCTTGCGGTGAGCGACGCGCGGGACGGAGATGGGCACCGAAGTGGGCACCAGGGCGCTTCCCTGGGTCCCAACACCAGGCAGGGTCGCTGCTGAAGCTCCACGGAGAGCGGCTGCGGCACCTCCGGGGAGCGGGCCGGCGGCGTCCTGCTGCCAGCCCAGCCCTTACCCACGCCATCTCCCAGCGAAGGGCTTTCAGATCGTAACCCTCTTTAGAGGCCAGCTGGAAAACACGAACCATTTTGGGAAACGCGGAAAGGTTTGAAAATCTTTTTCGATATAAAAATGAAACCCAAACACTTTTCCGACCTCTTCCTTCAGGCAAACACACTCGTACCACACACCCTCAACAGCGAGCGGTGCAGACTTGCGGCTGCCCCACGCCAGCCCCTCTGCCCTGTGAGCTTGCCTCTACTACAGAACCCGAGTACTCAAACATATTTCGTTGAAAAGCCATACTCGAAGTCAAAGGTAGTATTTGCTGCCAACCAGGCTTTCCCTGGAAGCCAGCCTTGCACGCATGGACAGGAAAAGTCTCTCCAAGATCACAACGGCAGGATCGAGCAGCAACCCCATTTAAATCAATCCACTTAAAACCTGGAAGCGCCAGCGCTACAGAAGCCACTCATCACGCTCTCCCAGAGGCAGGAGACAGGCAGTACGAACGGCAGAGAAAGGAGGAGAAAAGCATCCCCCTCCTCTGAGGCATCAACAGGCTTCTTCCCCAGGCGCTTGTCTCCTTGCCCGTTTCAGGAGGCTACAACTACTCAGCCGGGACACCGTATCGACCTCAAACGACTTCTGGCCAACAAGAAACTAAAGTGGTTCGTTTCACTCCACGGGCTCCAGTAAACCGGAGGGCTCGACAGAGGTATCTGTTCTGGAAAATAATAAAAATAAATCACTTCTGAAGGCTTGCTCATCAGGCGGTTGTATTTTTCCCAGTCACCCACTAATTAAAATACCTGTGACATAATTGACTTGCAGTAAATACTAATTACTGTGATCCATCAAAGCGGTTCTGCTGGCTCCTGACTGCACAGCAATCTACTTCTCTACGTTTGACTACTCTTGTTGTGCAACGGAGTGAGGTTGTTTTCCAAAGAACCTGTCAATTACGTTTTATTCATCGGACAAACTTACTCCCTGAGCAAATCTGAACCAGGGCTGGAGAAGGAAATCCGTCACCCACTCCAATCAGACCCTCAAGTCACTTGCCGGGAAAAGCAAAATTTCCTATTGCCAATAGCCCCATCGTATTTCATGGAGTCCTTTGCGTGACCACAGACCTTTTTTGCTCTGAAGAGCTGGGAGACCGACAATAGAGCCAAGCACAGGCCTGCTCCGACTTAAGCATTACCCCGATCACCTGCGAGCAGCTCGGATCCTCCACAAGTCAGGGTCACTCACGTCTTTTACTCCGCTCGCGTTTGGGAGCGCAGCCGGCCCATACAGCAAGTGCTCGCGAAACAAAGCACAAGACTCCAATCTCTCACTGGTTTTGAAACTATTTTAGAGATTGTCTCCCGCAGGCAAGAAATCCAACCCAGCTCCTGCAGCAGGCACACCGCTACAAGGCTCTCCGAAGCACGTTTTTTCCCAAAGCGGGTTCACCTGCCCCCCCTGCACGTGCTCTGCAGAGCCTTGCGCTCAGGGGCTCTCCAGCCAGGCGTCCACTCCCACAGAAAACTCCGCTGCCCCTTTTGTCAGACCGTGCTGCTTAGGCTGTGAAAAAGATCTTTTCAGGTTAGGCGGGAAACCTCACTTTTCACACCGAAATGCGAGCGGAGGCCAGTCCCCGAGCTCTGCACGTAGGCACGGCACTTGGAGACCGCTGACATTTCTGCCCAGGCTCCAGAGGAAGGACAGAAACAATGAAGCTACAGAATACTTCACATACCACCAAGGGCAACTGTATGCCAAAATTAACCATTGCAGGCTTAGTCTGCATAAACCTCTCATGCAACAGAGGTTACCGAGATGACCCGAGCGCTCAGCGGGGAGCCAGCAGGCCGAGCTCGAGCGCACCCAGCCCCGCAGCGCAGACTCGCCACCAGGTCATACCCGTGTGGGCGTGCTCCTCGGGAGCAGCACAGGCGTCCAGTCCTGCTCCTTTGAGCTTTTTTCCTGAGAGGAAGGAACGCCTGATTCCAGCTCACAACCCTTAAAAGCATCAGTCGCTGCTCTCTGTACTTACGGGAAGCACCTGGTGCCTCTCTCTGCGTTAAAAGCCCCAGTAAAGTCTTGAAGAAAGAGCATCTGCTGGTTAAGAGATGAACCAATGCGCAAGTTTCCGCCCCTCACCTCTGGGCAGATTCCTCACGCTTTTCATTCGCTTTCTGTCTGGAAACTGCACGTCTCCACGTGGAGGATCAAGCCACGTTTCCAGCGCATTTGGCAACCTCGTGATCTGAGAAGCACCCTGACCTTCTGGAGACCAGCACCACGTTATTCAAAATGTTTGTCCAGGTCACGCTCAGGCAGCTCAGGACGAGTGGGCAGGAGCTGAGGAGCCAGGGCAGACAGCAGCCCTGCTGACCACAGGAACCAAAGGACAATTTGGTCAAGCATTCTGAGAATTTTTGTTAGTCCACCAAGTACCTGTAGTCTTGTCGAGGAGGACAGACTGCACGTTATTTACAGTACTCATAGTAAACAGCTGAAATCAAAACAAACTTTTAGACTACGTTCTGTTTGACCTCAAAAAAAGGACACTCGAGGGATCTGGAACAAAGAGCACCTCCTGCTTAAAAGGAGACATTCATCTGTTCATCATGTCAAAGCAGCAACTCAACCACACGCAAAACACGCATAGGGACAAAAATAACAATTTACATTTTGCTGCTTAAGCCCGCAGCAAAAACAAGTCTTCTCCCTGATTCCCACACGGCGCTACGCAAACAAAGTGAATTATCACAACGTTTCCAGTAACAGATGAATCAAAGACACTCACAGCACAGCTTGGCCACCGAAAGAGCCATCAGCCCTGTTACTGGAAATGCAGATGAGCAGGTTGTGAAGCTCTCCCAGGTGATATCCCGGAGAAGTGCAGCGCCCACACCAACCAGGGCCAAGACAAGCATCCAACACCGACCGACTGAAACCGTGGCCCTTTAGAGAAAGGGCCGTTCCTCCAGCTAAAAGTTCCGACCTACGCTGCTGACTGTAGTATTTACAGCCGCGTGGCAACTGCGCCGCCCGCACGCACCCAGCCCTGCAGCCCGAGGGTCACCAGGCAGCGTTTCATCCGGATGTCTTGGGTTACAATATGTAACCAA